TTGCCCGCCGAAGCTAAAGACATGTGTTACCGGATTCCAAAATCTTGCCGCGGCATGGAGAAATGGAAAGTGCAGCTGGGTACGACTCAGAGTGAATAGTGCATTTATGTCGAAGCCCCGAAAATTCTGCTTTTCCGAGCCGTCCAAGTTGGCAATCCAAGTTGTGAGATTCTGGGCAAGAAACTCTTCCATTTGGAGCAAATCAGTGTTGAATTGAGAAAAACTATGAAGCTGACGCCTTTTATATAAGATAAGGTGTGAATGGAGGACAGGTGTCAGCATTCTGGTGGTTCTTGCCATTTATGGCCGACCGGCCAAAAATAGTGCCGACCGACCACAATTTTTGGTCGATAGGTCAAAGCTGTTGGACGATGGATTTCTTGAGGCCGATGGCCTTCCCCTGTAGCCGGTGGTCATCCCTTTTGTTCCCTAAGCTGTTTTTGTGTCGAGCATGCTGGGAATTTGGGACTGGCATCATTTCTAATGCCCTCCGATGATTGATTTTCGCGGAGTCGTGCCCATTTGCTTATCGAGTTGTTGTACATTTGCTTATCGAGTTGTATTTCACTTTCTCTAAGCCTTTGTCTTGCTTATCGAGTGGTACTTGCATTTGGTTAGTTCATCAAGTTCTTTGTTTTGCTTATCGAGTTGTTAGTCGGTTCACTACCTGATTATTATGATGTAAGCGCTTAATTTTCAAACAAAGTTCAATCTCATTCACATTGTTATGTGACGCCACGCAATACGATGCATAGAAAGTACAAATGTAACATCTTTTTGGGCACAATAGTTGTTTTACTTCCATCATGACTTTTGCCAAAAAAATATACAGTTTTGAAAAAAAATAAAACCTGCCTGAGGCAGTGCAATGTGCTTAAACTATCAGTAAAAAAGGAAAGTAAAGCAAAAGGAAAGCGGGGCAGCAGAGTGTTGAGATTGATACCGGTAACCCCCCTTTGCGGTCGATGCACCTCCCGCGTCCTTGTTCGGGTTAGTTATATGGTTTGACACTTTCATTACTCGAGACTGTGCAAGAAAGTACACTTTTGAATTTTAATTGGCCTTCGTGTTGACCTCGAGCCATGTCTTCTGTGTGCGATGCTCGATGCGCGCAAAGAGTATCCTTCCTCACATCCTTTTTATACCTTGCGGATTCCGTAAATCGCTTTAAACATATGGAATCGCATTGTTCTATTTTGACCGTAATTGTTGCGCTTGTTACGCGTCTTGCACAATGCCTTGTATTGTTCTAAATTCGCATCTCAGCATCATGAATAACATGCCTTTACCATGTTTTCAGTTGAATTTTCCCCCTTTTAGCATTACCATACACATTGCATGCGTTGTCACGTATTCCTTTACTTACATGTGTTCAAGTTCTTTTTATACACATTGCATGCATTGTCACGTATTGCTTTACTTACATGTGTTCAAGTTCCTTTTATACATATTGCATGCGTTGTCACGTATTGCTTTACTTACATATGTTCAAGTTCCTTTTATACACATTGCATGCGTTGTCACGTATTGCTTTACTTACATGTGTTCAAGTTCCTTTTATACACATTGCATGAGTTGTCACGTATTGCTTTACTTATATGTGTTCAAGTTCCTTTTATACACATCGCATGCGTTGTCACGCATTGCTTTACTTATATGTGTTCAAGATCCCTTTTATACATATTGCATGCGTTGTCGCGTTATGCTTTACTTACATGTGTTCAAGTTCCCTTTTATACACATTGTATGCGTTGTCGCGTATGCTTTACTTACATGTGTCCACATCTTCATGCACTGCGCACGTTGTCACGTGTTCTTTACTTACATGTGTTCGTACCTTCCTAGCATTGTTATGTTTGCCCCAAGTAGCATCATCGTGCACTCCTACACTTGCGTTGTCACGCAGTCTTAACTTGCATTGTCATACTTGTTGCTAACAATATTGTACCTGTTAAGTTTCTCTCTTTTACAGGCACAATATTGTATGTACGGTTCATTTGAGGCTGGCGCAACCAGACAACCAGACGAACCGGACAGGTATCATATTCTCCGCGTGAAACGTAGTGAGAATTACATAATTCTCTTACATCCTTTCTGCATTGTAATGTTATTGGATTCGTGTTTGATTGCTTAAAACTGTTGCATGTTATCCTTCGTTACAGCTTTCTTTGCATGATCATAAGTTATGCTCGGCTTCGTGCATTGTCTTGCATTTTGCCCCTGCCCTCGAACGCATATCTTTGTTTGTGGCTTGTATGCTTTGTCTAAGTCTTCGGCCTTGTCAAAAATGGGTCGTCTCCGGGCATTGACATTCACTCCTGTCATTGTTATGACTTTCGAGTTCTGTCAAAGAGGGGCAACTGTAGATACCCCATTTTTGACCGTCCTCAAGACTTGGACATCACCGTTTGAACACTCGGTGATCATCCATGTTCGTGTTCGTTTTTAGTTCCCGGAAGCCTAGGCTGCGTGCCTTGCCTCAGGATCTCTTAACTTGCCTGTCCTGTACTTGGTTTTGCACCAAGGACTTGTGTTTTGTGCTTCTGAGGGTAGGAAATGGCTTGTTGGTCATCCCCATATCTCACCGGCCATGGCTTAGAGCTACCGGCCATTTGTGATGGCTGGTCGGCTCTTTGTGTGGTCGGCCGAACATATACTTGGCCGATGGACTCCTTTTCTGGCCGGTACCTCCTTTTTGCCTTTTTCAGGCATAGTGCATGCCAGCTGTGCCAGCTGGAGTGCACGTACCTATCCTCCATACATGTGTATGGAGGAACTTGCACCCTTTGCACCCTTTTGGTCTAGCTTCTTGAGGAAGCTTGGACCTTTGTCTTGGCTTCCTCAAGAAGCTTGAACCCCTATCCCAACTTCCTCAGGAAGCCTTGACCTCTTTGCCTTGGCTTCTTTAAGAAGCCTTGACCCTTTTGTATTTTCTTCCTTTAGAAGACTTGAGTCCTTGCCTTGTCTATATAAGGAGGCCTTCCTCCCCCTTTGAAGAGGTTCAGCAAAAAACCAAAGATAATACATATGTATCTAGTATATAGACCATTCTCTCTCTATATTTCCCTCTCTCTCTTCATTTGTGTGTGTTAGAGAGCCTTAATGTAATACCCATGTTCCGTAATATGTTAATTGGTCCTTAAAATGAGTATGATTATGTGTTTAATATGATTTTGTGTGCCATTATGTGGTCTTGGATTTCTATCTGTTCACCGTAGGAATATCTGTTTGATTTATCTGCTTTGGAAATTTAATTGGAGGCCTTACATGCCATTATATTCTTCAATTGGGGCTTTGAGGGTGTGTAAATTGTGTTTAATGCGTGTTTGACTGTTTTTAATACTAACTTTGACGCCGTGGGGATTAATATGGGAATTGCCTTATGCTTTTGACAACTATCAGATAATATGGAGAGACTTGATGGAACGGGGAATTGAATGAATTGAGAACACGTGTATTGTGTTAAAAGTTGACTGCTTCGATGTTCTTGTGCTTTACAATTGTTGTTATGGGGATATATGAGTTACGTGCGTCGTGTGATGGATTGTTTTGTTGTTATGCTTTGGTAGTTCGGGAATCTATATCTAGATCCACTTTGTGTTCCTGAAAACTTTTGATTGACCTTGGATGACTGTGATGAGTCACTAAACTAAGTACTGAATTGGGTTGTAAATTGCGGGATTATTGAAGAACGAATTGAACTTCTGTGACAAGGAAATGAACCGAACTTCTGGGGTAAAGTTAGTTAGCATTAGAAATAAATATGTTGGCGACCTATTGTGAAGAAGAAATTGTTGAATTAGTGCCTAAATGTTTTCGGTGCCAACAAGGCAAAGTTGAATAACAGATATTGGCAGAACTACTGCAATCTCTACCTCCATTTCGGAATGGAAATAGAAATATATGACTACAAATTTCGTTGTGGGGCTGCCTTGGACACCCAAGTATAAGTCCCGTTTGGGTTATTGTGTACAGAATTACTAAGTTTGCTCATTTCCTCCCTGTGAAATTTTTGTATGATGCATATAGACTGACAACTGTTTACATCAATAAGATTGCTCGTTTGCATGGGATCCTAGTGTCTACTGTTTAGACAGGAATCCTAAAATGTGTTTGAATTTTTAACAAGCCTTCAAGAGGCAATGGGAACTGAATTGTGATTCGGCGTTGCTTTCCATCCGAAAATCGAAATGTAACTAGAAAGAACTTTTGGGAGAAATGCTCCAAATACGTGCAGTAGATTTTTCGGGGAGTTTGGGAGATCTATCCATTGTTGGCAGACTTTGCTTACAACCATAGCCTACACTCTAGTTTTGGTGTGACACCATACAAGTCTTGTATGGAGGAAAAGTTGAGTCTTTGACTGATTGAGAACAAAGTGTTGCTTGATTTTGAAACTAAGCAGATAACTATCAAAAGGATTGGAACCATTGAATAAGAAAGTATTCCTTCCGAAGTGTTTTTGGCTAAAGATAAATTAAGTTTGGAGGACCAAACTTCCTAAAGTGGGGAAGACTATAATACCCCTGTTCCGTAATATGTTAATTGGTCCTTAAAATGAGTATGATTATGTGTTTAATATGATTTTGTGTGCCATTATGTGGTCTTGGATTTCTATCTGTTCACCGTAGGAATATCTGTTTGATTTATCTGCTTTGAAAATTTAATTGGAGGCCTTATCGGCCACAGAACCCAAAATTGATTACGCCATTGGGATTAGCATAATTTTTGGAACCTATGGTGAAATTTAATTGAAAATTGATTCGGGTCAGATTAAATCGATTAAATCGGTGAATTAAAGCCCAATTATCTTATTAATATTATATTGGCCTTAGTGGATTTTGTTGTGAAGTCACTACACTCTCTATCCTCTCTTTTTCACTTCATTTTGGCTGAATTTGGGACTCAAAATAGAGAGAACCGGCTGTAGAGAGAGAGAAGGAGAGAATTGTGTGATTTTTGGCTTAAGCTTGTTGAGAGTGTGTAGTGTGTTCATAATCATGATCACTCATGGTGTTGTGGTGGTGGAGCGGTGGTGGTTGTCGGTGCTTATAGTACTAGTGCTGCCACTGTGTTATGGTGACAGAGTCAGTATTTCTCGTAAGAAGCTCGATGATTTTACAAATTACTTGAAGGGCTTCAACAAGCCTCCTCTTAAATCCATCAAGGTCCTCTCTCCACTCCAACTCCATTCTTTCTTTTTTTTTGGAGAATTACATTGGTAGTGTGTGCATTTTACTATTTGTGTCATTCGGTCCATGTAATTTCAATTAACTCGATGTTAACCCTTAATTGGAAATTTGTGTTAATTCGATCCAATTGATAACACTGATTAAAGTTTTCAAAGGAAATTGATCACTAAATTGGTTAACTCATTGAGAAATGCTCAACCTAACCTCATCAATCAAGGTGGTCACCAGGTACACCCACTATTACATTTTTTCATTTATAATTATAAAAAAAAGGGGGGGTAAAAAAAGAGAAAAAAGGAAAGCAGGAAAAGGGATTCTTTTCTGCAATTTTTTGTTTTGTTTTTTTTTTTTTTCAGTCAATGATTTGTACTAATGTGTTTTGGGTTTTGTTATTTTGGAGTTGTTTTAGCATGCAATAGCTTATGTTGAAGGAGACAAGTTCTATGGAGCAGAGGGAACAATGAATGTTTGGGAACCCATAATCCAGCAGCCTAATGAATTCAGCTTGTCTCAACTCTGGATCTTGGGAGGTTCTTTTGCTTCAGATCTTAACAGCATCGAAACTGGTTGGCAGGTACATTTACATTAATTATGATTATATTGTAGATTTTCTTGTTATTCTTGCCTTTTGTTCTTATTATATAGAGTTAATTACACTTGACATCCTTATATTTTTACCAACAATTCATTTTGGTCATTTTATTTTTATTTGTGACAATTAACCTTTTATAATTTAAGGCAATGTCACATTCCAGTCTATTTGAAGTTAATGAGACTAAAGAAATATGACTTGTGAATCGCACATTTTCTCATCTCATTAGATTAGCATCTCTTTATTTTATTTTTTTCAAAATTTCACTTTGTCATTTTGTTTTCACCAAAATTGTAGTTTGGTACATCTAGTTTTAATTTTTCTCAAAAAAGTTTCGCATGTGGGACACAGGTTGATTTCTTTCAACGTAAGTAATACCAGACAAAAAGGAGATATTATAATTGGACTAAAATGTAAGAATCAACTGTCAAAATTGAACGTAAATGAGGGCAAAGCATCATATTTATAAAAGTATAAAAGTGTTAAATGTAATTTATCCTTTTAATTTTTGTATTGCTAGTGGTGCTATGTATTTAAAAAAATGATACAGAAGTCTAATTTTTAAATCTATTTTTAAGACTCACTTATGCGTAAAATATATGATTGACTAATGATTGGAGAAAACATGATAAAAGAGTTGTCTAGATATTCTAATAGATTACCACATCATTTAGTTTGAAAAATAGATCTAACTTTTGGACGGCATTACTACTAAAAAAGAGAGAATAAATTATAAAAACACTCTTTGAGATTTGTTTAAAATATGAATTGTTCTTTGTGGTTCTAGAAATTGCATCCCGTCTTTTGACCTTTCTAATTTCATAACAAAGAGTTCTTTTTATTAATAAATCAACAATTCAATTAATTGTTTTTAATCATGTCAAAAATGTATTTCAATTAATAATTTAGATAATTTTATTATTCTATAGGAGGGCAGTTATGAATTTTATTTTTTTAGATAATTTTGTTAAACAAAATTTTTTGGAAGGGGCCATTTGTAATTTGTCAAATCACGAGACAATCCGTATTTTAAACAAACATGTATTTGTAATTCACCCAAAGCAAAAAAACAAAGTAAGGCTAGTGATCCAGATTTGGGCTATGAATTAAAGTGTATGGCAAAGATTGAATGAGTACACTATAAGAAAAAACAATTTTCGTGACCAACATTTTGGTCGCGAAAAGTACCATATTTGGTCGTTAAAACCTTTTCACGACCAAAATATGTTGGTCACGAGTTGGTCACTAAAGTCTCGTCACAAATAGTTTTCTGCGACCAAAAAAGCCTTTGGTCGCTAAAAGTGACCATTCGTGACCAACTTTTTTGGTCGCGGAAAGTCCAATTCATATTAGCCAAAAGTAAACTTTTAGTGACCAAAGATAAGTTGGTCGCCAAAAGTCAGCGCCTTGACCCCAAAAAAATAATTTTTTTGTGCTGCCTGGGACTTGAACTCCTGACCAAGGAGTCACCATGCACCCAATTCACTCGGCCAATAACATGCTTCTTATTCATATTTGGCAAAAAAAATATATAACCCATAAAAATTGGGTTATATATTATTTTATAAAACTTTTAATACCTAAACAAAAAAAATAGCATGTAATTACAGTAGTATCCTTTTTTTTAAAATTTATCCCGCCATAACTTTTCGCGACCAACTTTTTTTTTTTTTGTCGCTAAAGGGTAATCTTCCGCAACCAAAAAAGCCTTTGGTCGCCAATAGTATACTTTTCGCGACCAACTTTTTTTTTTGGTCGCCAAAGGGTAATCTTCCGCGACCAAAAAAGCCTTTGGTCGCCAATAGTATACTTTCCGTGACCAACTTTTTTTGTTGGTCACCAAAGGGTGTACTTTCTGTGACCAACTTTTTTTTTGTTCGCCAAAAGGTGATCTTCCGCGACCAAAAAAACCTTTGGTTGCCAATAGGTATACTTTCCGCTACCAACTTTTTTTTTGGTCGCAAAACGGTGATTTTCCGGGACCAAAAAATTGTAGTCGCCAAAAGTTAAATTTTAGTCGCAGAAAGAGGACTATTTGCGACCAAAAAAAATAGGTGGTTGCCAAAAGTGTTTTTTCTTATAGTGGTATATTATAAGATTCATATGTAAAATGAATCTGAATCACACATTGATATATTTGAGTAATTTTTTGGATAAAATTTCTAAATTTGTAGTGTTACTTAAAAATAAATAAATAAATAAATGTATCATTGAGAAATATGACCAACACCATACGCTTTTATTTTATTTGCACATTTTCTTTGTTTGGCTCTTTTCCCTTTGTGTTGCACTTCCATTCTCATTTTGCTCCCTCTTCTTTGTGAGAAAAAAATACAGGTCTGCCCAGACTTACATGGAGATAACAACACTAGACTTTTCACCTACTGGACTGTGAGTCTTCATTTTTTTTCCCCAACATTCTTCTCTCAAGATTAATCTTTTGTTCATAGTTTTACCGTATATATATACACGCATGAGCAATGCTAGGACCGAAACAAAAATTTTATACAATACTCACATTGGTGTAAAACTCACACCATAGGAGGCCCTGCACAATTTTTGATAATTATTTGTTAGGTTTTATTATTAGCAATCCCGTTTGACAAGGATTTCTTTAAGAAGTTGATTTTCTTCCAAAACTAGGATTACTTTTGGATTTTTATAAGTAATTGGATTTCTTCCAAAACTAGGATTTCTTTTGGATTTTCTATAAATAGTTGGTTTTCTCCCAAAACTATTGAATTCCTCCAGATCTTCTTTTTGGTTCTTAAGGTTTATATCTGGGGATATTTTGTTAGTTTTCTTTGATATTTTATTGAGTATTCAACTCATGGTTTAAAGAGAGTACATCAAAGGTTTTGTTTGCTATACAAAAGAGAGAGTTGTTCTTCGGTGGATTCTGAAGAATTCGAGCCTGAAGCTTTGATAGATTCCGGAGTGGCTCATTGTAAAGACAATTCCGAGGTGAAGACCGGTTGGAAGAGGCACATAGAGGTTGGTTCAATTAGGCATGGATTCGTTAGGTAATTGAGAGTATACCTGTGTAATTCCTTTAAATCTTCTTAGTGGATTGTTTTGTGGCTATTGCCCGTGGTTTTTTGATCACAGTTGGAGGTGTCCAATTGTGGTTTTTTTCACGTAAAATCGTTGTGTCTCTTTGTCTTGATTGTTTGATTGGGATTGTTATATTCTGCTTAAAATTGATACATAATCACAAATCAACATCTAGGGGATTTCTAGATTTTTCAATTGGTATCAGAGCAGGTTGTTCTATTTTTATTTTTTTTTTCTTTTTAAAAAATATTTTTAGAACGAGATCTTGTTTGATTTGTGATAATGGATACAATTCGTGAAGGAAATTCTATGGTTCGACCACCCCTACTTGACGGATCCAATTATTCTTTTTGTAAAGCTCGGATGAGATCTTTTTTAAAATCTATTGATGAAAAAGTTTGGCAATCCATCATGAATGGGTGGACTGAACCAACAATTACCGTTGATGGAGTTACAGTCCCCAAACCAATTGATAAGTGGGACACAACTGATTACCAAAATAGTAGCTGGAATAGTAAAGCTATCAATTCTCTCTTTTGCGCTGTCACACCTGAAGAGTTTAGTCGTATTTGCAATTGTGAAGTCGCAAAAGAGGCTTAGGATATCTTACAAACTATTCATAAGGGCACTCCTTCTGTTAAACGCTCAAAACTTCAAAGGCTCATGTCTAGTTTCGAAAACCTTTCAATGAAAGATAGTGAGACCTTTGATGAATTTTATGCGAAGTTGAGTGACATTGTAAATTCCAACTTCAATTTAGGTGAAAAAATTCCAGAATCCAAAGTTGTGGGAAAAATTTTGAAATCCTTGCCCGATCGATTCCAACCAAAAGTTACGGCTATTGAGGAGGCTCAAGATGTTGACAACCTCAAGCTGGATCAGTTGGTTGGAAATCTCCAAACTTATGAGGCACACAGGAATTTCAAACAGAAACAAAAAGATATTGCTTTTAGTAGTGCTCATAAAGTTAGAGAGGATTCTGATGAGGATTGTGATATAGATTCCAAGATTACAGCTGCTTTTGTTAAACAATTTAAAAAATCTTTTTGAAAAAGAATCCTAATCTTTTGGAATCTACTCATTCTCATAAACCTAAAGGCAAAGATAAACTCAAAATTTAATCTATAGCCATGAAGGAGAAATGAAAGATACAAGGAAACTCTGAAAGACTCCAATGCTATGAATGCCAAGGTTTTGGCCACTTTGCTCAAGAATGCCCCACTCGGTTGAGGAAAAAGAAAGCCCTCGCTATCACTTGGGATGATGAATCGGAATCTGATAAAGATGAAAGTGACAATGAAGATCAAGGTGAAGAGGGACATAAACAATTTCTTGCTTTCATGACGGCTTCCGAAACTGAAGGACATACAGATTCTCCGAAGATGTCAGTTGAGAATATCACTGATGATGAATCCTCGGAGAGTGATCATGAAGAGCTTGAGCAAGCTTATGAAAAGCTGTATAAGGAATCTCTTAACTTATTCAAATTGAATGACAAACTCACAAAGAAACTCAAAGCATGTGAAAGTGAGAATGTCAAACTTAAGGAGGAGATTTCCGAGGCTAGGATTAATGCCATCAAGGTAGCTGATGATCGACAAGTTCTTTTTGCAAAACTGTTGACTTGTGAGACAGAAAGGAATGAGCTCCTGCAAACCCATGCCATGTATGAAGAAAAGATTGAATCTCTCGAGATGTCACAAGTTGCTTTGGAAGAACTAATGATCAAGAAAGAGGAAGAGCTCAAGTGTGCTATGGCTACCATTGGTCTTTGGAACAAAGGATCAAAGACTTTGGAGGATATCATTGGGTCTCAACAAATTAGTTGTGACAAGAGTGGCATTGGCTTTGGTGGTAAGAAAGAGCAAAAACAGAGTGCTTCAACATCTCATGATACAAGAACTCAAGGAAAGGGAGAACAAAAAATTCAACATAAGGATGGACTTCTTAAACTTCCTAGAGTTGGTAAGGTAAAAGAAAAGAAGGTACACCCTGTTTTTATTTGTCATCATTGTGGTATGCATGGTCATATTCGACCTTATTGTTATAAGTTGCATGGGAGAGTGTATTTGCCTAGACTTAGGAATAGGAAGTTGGAAACCATGTCGAGACGGGTTCCTATTGCAGGGGAAAGGAACCACAACGTCAAGACACCACCCAAGAACCACAATTCTCACAATTTTGTTCATACTAAAGCAGTTTGGGTGAGAAAACTTGACTTGTGTTAATTTGTTTATTTATTTTAGCTTTTGGGTTTTTGTGTGTTGTTTTTAATGAAAAAAAAAATGTTTGCTTGTTCATTTTTTTTGTCTTGTTTTATTTTTGAAAAAAAAAAGGAAAAAAATCCCAAAAAGATTTTCTTAGTATGATTTTGCAAGCTTGAAATTTTTGAGTAGTCCTTGGTGCATATTGGATTTGATGAGAATATCCATTACATGTTAATATATGTGTGCTTTCTATGGTCATTACTCTTTTTGGAGTGTGTGTTTTTTGATTAGTATGTCTCATTCTGTACACACTCTTGGATTAGCAAATTTTGGAGTCTTCCGCCTTAGTGATTATTTTTTTTGGACTTCTGGCATTGTATCTTTTGCTTTTCTAGAGGAATTGACCTATACTAGCATATCTTGGGTGATGTTGAGTCTCTTAACCACCTACCATCCTTTTGCATCTCCATGGCTTTCCCCTTAATTCTTTGCAGTCTAGCCATGAGGAAAAGGCTACCTCAGAGTCACCAACCAGGCCATCCTTATTATATCCATGCTTCTCTGGTTCGGTTTCCATACTCTTGAGCGTGTCAGCCACCAATGATTGTGCAAAAGAAAAAGAAAAAGAAAAAGAAAAAGAAAAAGAAGAAGACAAAATATGCAAAAGTAAGAAAAAAATGTGCAAAAGAAAGAAAGAAAAAAAAGATTCATTGATTGAGGGGGAGCCTCCGCCTTTACTCACCAAATACCCCTTGATTCCTAGTGGTTTGACTTTCCTTTGACGTGCTTAAGATTCTCTTGTCGGAGGTCCAGCTTTCATATCACTACTAGGATTGAATCTAGTGTTTGTCGAACTCCAAAAGTCACACACACACTTTTATCATGGGATCTATGCTTTTCACACAATGCATCACTTTCTTTCATGAGGAATTTTCTACAGACTGTGCACATTGTGTTTACTAGTAATTGTGCTTCTTGGATAATCTTGTGTGTTTTAAGGTACAAATCTAAAATTCCTTGCTTGCTCCACCATATTATTTTTTGTCGTTTTCTTCTTGTTCACTGTTTTCAGTGTTTGTGGTTGCTTTTAGTGAGGGGGAGTTTGGTTCATCTTGATTTGGGTTGGTAAGGGAGTTTGGTTTTTCATTGCAAGAGTTGTTTAGCATGAACACTTTGATATGTTTGGTAAGGGAGATTGGCTATATGTTTTGCATGTTGTTATGCACTGTTTGCTCTTCTTGTATGTTCCTGGTATTTACATCGTCATATCATTGCTTGTGTGATTTATGATCTTGCTTTTGTTGTTTGAGAGTTGTTTTTCATGAGTCTTAGTTTCATCTATTCATGTTTTCTATCTCATGTTTCCAGATAATCGTGTCATATGTCTATTATTTTTTCATATACCCTTGTGGGACTAATAGTTGTTTTGGAGATTGTGGCACTAGTAACTGTTTTGCAGATCAAGACCTTGAGAAAGAAGTTGGCTTTTGTTGGCTGTAATGGGTTGGGGTGTTTAGGATTTTATTTGTTGGGCGTGTTTTGTCACGGCATTGCCAAAGGAGGAGATTGTTAGGTTTTATTATTGGCAATCCCGTTTGACAAAGATTTCTTTAAGAAGTTGATTTTCTTCCAAAACTAGGATTACTTTTGGATTTCTATAAGTAATTGGATTTATTATTGGCAATCCCGTTTAACAAGGATTTCTTTAAGAAGTTGATTTTCTTCCAAAACTAGGATTACTTTTGGATTTCTATAAGTAATTGGATTTCTTCCAAAACTAGGATTTCTTTTGGATTTTCTATAAATAGTTGGTTTTCTCCCAAAACTATTGAATTCCTCCAGATCTTCTTTTTGGTTCTTAAGGTTTATATCTGGGGATATTTTGTTAGTTTTCTTTGATATTTTATTGAGTATTCAACTCATGGTTTAAAGAGAGTACATCAAAGGTTTTGTTTGCTATACAAAAGAGAGAGTTGTTCTTCGGTGGATTCTGAAGAATTCGAGCCTGAAACTTTGGTAGATTCCGGGGTGACTCATCGTAAAGACAATTCTGAGGTGAAGACCGGTTGGAAGAGGCACATAGAGGTTGGTTCAATTAGGCATGGATTCGCTAGGTAATTGAGAGTATACCTGTGTAATTCCTTTAAATCTTCTTAGTGGATTGTTTTGTGGCTATTGCCCGTGGTTTTTTTTATCACAGTTGGAGGTGTCCACTTGTGGTTTTTTCCACGTAAAATCGTTGTGTCTCTTTGTCTTGATTGTTTGATTGGGATTGTTATATTCTACTTAAAATTGATACATAATCACAAATCAACATCTAGGGGATTTCTAGATTTTTCAATTATTATTATTATTATTATTATTATTATTTTGTGTGACTCTTTTAACATTTTTCTATGTTACAAAAAGACAGGATTCACAAAAAAATAAGACCCACTACATGTAAACGAACTGTATCTAATTGCCTAAACAATTTTTGGATTTTAATATATCTATATATATAATATATATGTTTAAGAGTGAAATAAGTTGATGTGAAAAGTGAAACGGGTAAATGACAGAGTGATGCATATCAAGCCACAGGGTGTTACAACCTCCTGTGTTGCTCATGTCCCTAACATTTTGGATCCTAGCATTGCTCATGTGTATATATATATATATGGTAAAACTATGAACAAAAGATTAATCTTAAGAGAAGAATGTTGGGGGAAAAAATGAAGACTCACAGTCCAGTAGGTGAAAAGTCTGGTAATTAATTTTTAGCCCCGAAAGCATTTCAAAACACCTCAAAATCCTTTTTACATTCCCAATCTCCTCTAATTCTACCTCACAAAATAGTATTGTATCATCTGCAAATTTAAGATGGGTAATCACAAAATCTACCTTTAAAATACTTAGGGATGCCATTGGGGGATTGTCCAAGGAGAAGAAGATTCTGACAACCTGTGATTGATAAGTGCAGACAAAAATTAGCCTCTTGGAAGAGGAGATTTCTATCATTTGTAGGTAGATTAACTCTGATAAAGTCAGTGCTGTCTAGTTTACCAATCTATTACTTATCTTTGTTCAAGATGTCGGAAGGGATTGCAAAAGAAATTGACAGAGTTCAGTCTAGATTCTTATGGGGAGGTGATGAACTTAGAAGAAAGATTCATTTAGCAAAGTGGGAGGAGATTTCAAAAAGTAAAAACCAAGGGGGTTTAGGAGTTAAAAGGATCAGGCTTATGAATGATTGTCTCCTCTTAAAATGGTGGTGGAGGTTTGGGGCTGAAGATAAAACCCTATGGAAGCTGGTGATATGCAGTAAGTATTATGCGGATGGGAGGGGATGGTGGCCTTTCCCTGTGGAGAATCTTAGGTGCTCTTTAATTTGGAAAGATATACTTGGGCTTGCTTTGGGTAGGCCTGATCTGGTGGAATTTTTTAAAAATAACATAGCCCTTGTTATTGGAGATGGAAAGAGAATACTTTTCTAGAAGGATAAATGGGCTGGAAATGTATGTTTGAAAGATGTATTCCCTAGATTATTTTCTGTAACAGTGGGAAAGGATGAATCAGTGGACTTGGTGTATAATAGAAGAACTGGTGCTGGGGAGTGGAATCTGAATTTTAGAAAGGTCTATGTTTCAGTGGGAGGTGGAGGAGTTGAGGAGAATGTCTACAATGTTACCTACTACTCCGGCTCTTAAGGAAGGTAGGAGGGATATTTTGAGTTGAAGTGCAGATACCTCAGGGTCTTTCTCCATTGCATCAGCTTATAGATGGAGTCAATTGGGTCTTGGAGCTAATAGCAAGACTGCTGAGTTCATTTGGAAGAATGTACCTCCTCCCAAGGTTCAGTTTTTTGGTTGGCTAGCATGGAAATGAAGAGTTAAGTCCTCTAGCTATCTGCAAAATATTGGTGTTCTAAATGTTGGATCATCTGTTAATTGCATCTTTTGTAATGGGGAGGTGGAAAGTGGTATCCATGTGTTGTTGCTTTGCCCCTTTACCTGGAGGATTTTGTCTAAGATTATCGAATGGTGGGGTATTCAATGGGCAACACCTGGGTCTGTGAGTAGCTTACTCAATTGGTGGCCTGGTTGGAAATTATCAAAGTAACGGAAGTTAATTTAGAATGTTGTTCCTCTGGCTGTGCTCTGATCCATATGGAAGCAAAGAAATGACTGTCTTTTTAATAGTGCTCAGGCTAATGTTGATAGTTTGTGTGATTCCATCAAGGTGAGGATTGCATTATGGATCAAATCATCTTGCCCAGCTGTAGTATACTCGGTCAATGAGATTGTTCATCATCTTCAATAGGTTATAGTCTGCCTTGGCTAAGGTTGCTGTCTAGCTAAATTATGAGTGGTGATCTGAGAAGGGTGGACCTTGAAGTTTGGTGTGGTTTACAATTTGGGTTGTAGTATTGTGGTTCTAGAACCTGTGTTGGCATGTCCTGTGATGCATTAATGATTAGTTCTAAATTGTTCTGTCTTTTTTTTTATTATCTGGTATACAAATGGTCTAAGTCATTGCTGCTAAAGTGTGATCTGTTATTGTGGTCTGGTTTACAAGGCACAAGACTGCTGTTGTGGATAAGGCTACTGTTTCTGCTGGTTTATGGCTCCAGTTCAAGTTGCTGATTACCTACGGGGTTGACGGTTATGTTATTTTGGGTGCATTCTGTTATCCTTAGTTGTCTTCTGCTGCTGAAGAGCAGTATTTTGATTGGGGTGTTTACTTTGGGTGTTACTTGCTGGATGCTCACTGTTTTTTGTTTTTTTTCTTGTCGGCTGGATTGGATCCTCTCCAATCTTGGGCATTGTGTTGGCATATGATTGTGCTACCTTCTCGGTACCAACCTAGTTAGGATTGTTAAGTGTGGCTATGATGCTTGTTGCACCTTTCTTCTTTATTGATGTATGTTCTTCATTTGTAATTCTTCTTTCATCAATAAAGTTTCTCTTTTGCTGATCAAAAAAAAAAAAAAAGGTAAAAACTCAGGTGTTGTTATCTCCATGTAAGTTTGGGCTGGCCTATTTTTTTTGCTCATAGACAAGAGAGAGCAAAATGAGAATGGAAGTGCAACACAAAGGGAAAAGAGACAAACAAAGAAAATGTGCAAATAAAATAAAAGCGTACGGTGTTGTTCATATTTCTCAATGATACATTTATTTTTATTTTTTTTAAGTAACACTACAAATTTAGAAATTTTATCCAAAAAATTACTCAAATATATCAATGTGTGATTCAGATTCATTTTACATATGAATCTCATAATATACTCATTCAATCTCCGCCATACACTTTAATTCATAGCCCAAATCTGGATCACCAGCCTTACTTTTTTTCTTTTTTTTTTTTTGCTTTGGGTGAATTACAAATATATGTTTGTTTAAAATACAAATTATCTCGTGATTTGAAAAATTACAAATGGCCTCTTCCAAAAAAAATTTGTTTACCAAAATTATCTAAAAAAATAAAATTCACAACTGCACTCTTATACAACAATAAAATTATTTAAATTATTAATTGAAATGCATTTCTGACATGATTAAAAACTATTAATTGAATTGTTGATTTATTAATAAAAAGGATTCTTTGTTATGAAATTAGAAAGGTCAAAAGACGGGATGCAATTTCTAAAAGGGCCTTGCTACATCCCCTAAAAATACCCCCCCTAATCCCCCTAATTTCCATATCAAGTAAAAAAAAAAAAAAAAAAAAAAAAAAATCAAGTAAAAAAAAAAAAAAAAAAAGGAAAAAGTTGCCCAAATTGGAAATTAGGGGGATTAGGGGGGGTATTTTTAGGGCTCCAAATCATTTTCTTTTCTAAAATTATAAAGAACAATTCGTATTTTAAACAAATCTCAATGAGTGTATTGATAATTTATCCTCTTGTCTGGAAGGTAACATTTTGTATATTTATATGGTCAATAGGCTTTTATATATTACCCACTTCTTTTATTTAAATATTCAAGGAACTTCTATATAAAATAGAGTAAAAACAAATGTTCCAATCTTCCTATCTCCAACGGTAATAGACATTTTACCTATCTAAATATTACTATAAAGTAGATATTTTATTTTTCCTACTAACTATTTCATATTTCTACTCCAACCATGCTCTTTATTTTAGCTATTCATCTAAATACTATTAATTTTATAAAATGCCACATCAACAACAAAGATGGAGGGAAATGATCCTAACGATTACATATATTTTGCCTAGTCTTGAATGCTAGCTACATGTAGCTAGTGAATGTGAGATGAGCTAAAATGCCTAATCATATGCCTAGTGCATTGGAGTTGAAAAAAATAAGTTATACTAGACATTTTGACTAACAAGCATGATATGCCTAGTGGGTTGGAGATGCTTAATGGTGTATATGGATAGCAGATTACACAATGATGCAGAGAATCTCTGACATATCTCATATGCTCCTATATCCATTATTTTCTTTTTGTCTATCATTTTTCACTGTCATGTGCATGTGTACATATATGATTGTAGTGGGGCCTGAAGCAGTGTGTGCGCCTAGCAATGGTAACTATTTATTGTTTAATTTTTTAGATAAATTATATTTACCTCTTCGAAATTTAGAAACAAATATAGTTAGAGTCAAAGCCTATTAGTGGTTTTCATTTTTTAAAAATACCACCGCCATCACATCATTTTTATTACAAATTTTATACAAAAATTAGGTAAGAACAGAGTTTTAGTATAGAAAAAGCTAGGGATCCAAAACAGCTAATGTATGGTGTACATTCAAAAATAGTGTGACGTGAGCTATGTCCAGAATGAATTTAGTCCTTTCATTTTAATTTCTTAGTCATTTTTTATGAAAACATAAGTAAAATGTTTGTGTAGCAATGATCCATATTTGTCACTAATGGACATTTCTCATGTTTTAAAAAACACGAACATAAAAATGATAAGTTTCACTAGGTTGACCAACAACTAATAACTCAAAACACAAATAAAACTTTCTCCTAAATATCTTATTCACTTTTCGGACTACTTTGTCTTTACTTTTCCTATATCCCTAACATTTCTTTTTTTGAACATCATTTTGATTTTGTTAATAATGAGTGTTGTTATTTGGTAGGACCCAAAAGAGGGTTACTGATGGATGCAATTTGGGAATGACTGTGTATTGGGTTATTGGCCAGCCTTCTTGTTTTCGCACCTTGCCGATAGTGCATCAATGATTGAGTGGGGAGGAGAGGTGGTGAACTCAGCATCAGATGGGCAACACACCACCACCCAAATGGGCAGTGGCCATTTCCCTGAAGAAGGGTTTGGCAAAGCTAGTTACTTCAGAAACATCCTGATTGTAGATGGTTCCAACAATCTAAGAGCTCCTAAAGATGTTGGCACTTTCACTGAGCAATCCAATTGCTATGATGTTCAAATTGGGAATAATGGTGATTGGGGCAACTACTTTTACTATGGTGGTCCTGGTAGAAACCCTAATTGTCCATGACCAAAGTGAAATAAAAAAAATAAAGTTGCTCTCTTTCTTATTCCATTTGTGTGAACATTCAAGGTGTCCAATTGACCACCTGTATGTTGATTTGTTTACTTCACTATTGTACACCCTTTGTTTAGGCTAGGCTAGTATACCATAAATAGTAACAACATTTGCATTTTAGTATCATCTGATATGGTAATTTACATGACACTATCACATTACTTGATGAGCTTTATTTCTTATGTATATTTTACTTTGCAAGTGATATAGTGTCATGTAAAACAATCACGCATATGATATGATACTCTAATGTGGTGTTGAAATGTGATCACATTAGCATTATTCTGGTATGAAATCTGATCACATTAGCATTATTCTGGTGTTGAAATGTGAATCTTGTTGGAAGTTTTAATTTTCTTTAGGATCTCATATGAAAAGTTGGAAGCAGAGAGGTGCTCAAAGTTTCTTCAAATCAAAAGAAATAGTTATCTTTTCATGCTTCATATGTAATTACTTTTACCCTCATCATTTTGGAGTAAGTAGGTTATTTTGAATTTGGTGAATTAGAATATTCTTATGCTGGGCCTAGAAGCATAGTGTGAGATGTTGTTGTGTACAAAATGTTGTCTTTCTAATTTGTGGGACAATTTGATGGCTTTTATATAGTCTATTGATTTTGTTTTTGAGCTAGTGAAATGGATTTCTATTAAGTGGATTATTTTAGTAAAGATGCATGAAGCTCACATGTTTCACAACCCCCAAAAAAGAAGTAACATAAAAAATAAAAATTAAAAAAAAGCCAAAAAAACAAAACAAAAACAGAAAACAACAAAAAACAAAAAAAACAAAAAAATATGAAGGTATTCGACCGACACTTGCACCTCTAGCTTTTTGTGGAGCTACTTCGCGGTGGTCATGTGTCTTTTACTAATAATTCTTGAGACACTAACAAATATATCAATCAAATAGTTTGCACATGGGTCTTACTTGATTTGGAGTCCGCTTAATATTGTGTCTAATTAATATATTTATTGATTTTTTTTATTAATGTTTTTAATATTATCTGTCTTTTACATTAAATATAAAAAAAAAAGTGCTAATTACTTGAAAGTCTTATTTGTAGGACTTGTTTGAGGCTAAGTCCATAAAATTTAACTCAGCAGATCTTGTTTTTAATATCTTCTAATTTGTTGGACAAGTTTTAGGCTTCCAGTCCAGTCACCTTGGTGAAGCGCACCTATTACAAAAAATGAGAAATTTTTTTCGATGTGTAATGTTGTATAATGCATACTGTATATAATTTTATAAAAAACTATGTAAGTTAAATACAAATTTGTATATGTATTTTTATGAGATTATTTAAGTAAATTTATTCAAAATTTTATAATTTTGTATAAAATTATATACAGTGTGCATTGCACACCGCAGTAATTCTCGTCACAAAAAAGTGAGTAAGGATATAAGTATCTAATTTTTTAGTCAGGGCCAGTCCTAAACTTTTTTTAAGTTGAGGCCTTGATATCTCACAACAAAAAAAATAAAATAAAAAATTACCAGCATGTTTGGTAACCATTTCGTTTTTAGTTTATATTTATAAAATTTTAAAAAATTGTTATAAAAACTTGTTTGATAATTTTTTTAGTTTATAAATGATTGTCTCAGTTTATAAATTTGAAGAAAAAACGTAAACTTAAAAAATGAGTTTGCGTTGGTTTTTAATCAGAAATTTAAAAATTTGACTAACAAATTTTTTTTTCAAATATTTTTTTTAAATAATTTTTTTTCAAATAATTTTTTTTTCAATTAAATTTTTTAATTAATTTTTTTTTTCAATTATAATGTGTATGATCCCATTGTCATAAATAATAAAAAATAAATATAAATATTTTAGGCCTGAAAAAATATATTTTTTAGTTTATGTTTTTAAAATTTTTCAAATATTTTGTTCAAACCAAACACACTTATAGATTATGTTTTTCTAAATATAAACGAAAACCAATTTATAAAATTTTTGTAAACATAAACAAAAAACGTAAACGTTACCAAACGTTACCAGTATTCACAATTTTTTTAAAAACTTTTCTAGTATCCACACAAAATTTGTTGAATATAATTACTAAAATATAAAGAAGTCATTACAAAGACTGAAAAAAATAAATTTTGATTTTGTTGCTTTATTATTTAGCAAAATTCAATTTACAAGAAATTAAAAGTAAAACAAAATATAAAGTTATAATACCAAAAATAATTTATCCAAATGCAGCAAAGCGATTTCTCATTTCTTGGCAAAAGCACAAAGGAGAAAATTTTTGGAGTTGATGTATTGTTGATAGTGGGCTCGCTCTCTTATTTCTTTCAAAGTCATTTCTCATTTTAGGGCAATTTTGGAATGCCGTTGTTGATGTATTTGTTGATAGTGGGCCCTCTCTTATTTCTTTCAGTTGCTAAGTAGAAGAATAATTTCGGCCTTTACTTTTGGTTTGGGCCCATTTTTGCTTTTAGTTTGGCCATTTGTAGTTGTATTTTAATGTTGGATTATGTACAAGTGCGAAAATATATGGGGTCCTAATTTTGGGCTATATTTTGAGGGGTATGGATCGTCGGTCGCCCTTCCCTGTCGCCCCCAAAACGACGTCGTTTTGGGGATGAGTTTTCAAAAAAAAAAAACGCAGAAGAGGGAGGAAGGAGAGGAAGAGGGATGGAGGAGGAGGAGGAGGAGGAGGAGGGGAAGGGCCGGACTGGAGGGGGCCATAAATACAGGGGAGGAGGAGGTGGAGACGGGTCAGAGGCGGAGGCGACGGCTGTTGCGACCTGCGACGACGGCTGCAACGGCGGCGAGGGACGAGGACGGCGAGCTCGCAGCCTCCTCCTCCTCCCTCCTTCCTCACTCTCCCTCTTCCTCTCCTTCCTCCCTCTTCTCTGCGTTTTTTTTTTCTGAAATTTTGCCCCCAAAACGACGTCGTTTTGGGGGCGACAGGAGAAGGCGACAGGGGAAGGTGACGGGTGATCCGGATTCATATTTTGAGGGCCCAAAGCGAATGCTTTGTCGGCTTATGCCTAGAGTTGGTCCTGGGTCTCGTACCCTCGTCAGAAAGTGTAAATTTTTAAGTAAAAATTAAGGGGTAATTTGGTAACATAGCAAATAAACAGTTTATTTGCTTATTTGTTATAAGTTATCACATTACTTATATATTTTTTTTACATATTTTTTCAGAAAAAATTAAAAAATTATTAAATAATCAAATTCCACACCAACGTTAAGTAACTTTAATATTGTCGCAATTAAGTGTATTGATAAAAGTCCCTAAGAGTTGATATGGCCTTTATTTTTTGTCCTTTAGTATTTCAATTTTAAAACAAACACTTTTATTTTACATATACATTTTTTAAATAAAATTTATATATTTGAAATTGACTTGTTGAGATCCAAAAAAAAAAAAGAAAAAAAGAAAAAAAAAAGTGCAATATTGAACATAGAATTATGTTAATTTTTTTTTTCTTTGATAATGAGTTACTATCGTTTTGGGGTTGGGGGTTACTGCCATGACTTAAGCAGCAATAGTTGCCCTTTACTATATTGCCCTATTTGGTAGGGCTTGTTTCCAGTTTATTTCAGCTTTTACCTTAATTTAAACTATTTTTATGTATTTGGTTCACCTTAACAATATAGCTTATAGTTTTTGTAAGTCAAAAATCAACTTATTCTTTGAGTGGGGGAGGAAAAGCTTAATTTATAAGTTAAAAATCAACTTATGTTCACAGCTATAAGCTATAAGCTATAAGCTGTTAGGGTATAAGTTATAATCACTTTCTCACAGTTCTACCAAACGGGGCCATTAGGCTTGTTTGGTAGGGCTTATAAGCTGCTTATTTCAACTTTTAGTTTAATTTAAGCTAAAATATTATGTTTGGTACAGCTTAAGTTAACCAGCTTATAACTTAAATTAAACTATTTCTCAGCTTATCTCAAAAACTGGTCAGGGGTGCTTAAATTTTCGACTTAACCGTGCAGTTGGTGTGGGGGGCTAAAATTACTTAAATGCCCTCGTCAATACCCAAATATTAATATTAATTAAAAAAGAAAAAATTGTATATTTCTGAAGAAAAAGAAAAAAAAATCAATATTAATTAAAAAATAAATATTAATTGGTATTAATTATTAATAAATTCATATTGGTATATTTTTTATATTAATTAAAAATAAAAAATTGTATATTCTGAAGAAAAAAGAAAAAAAATCAATATTAATTAAAAAAATAAATATTAATTGGTATTAATTATTAATAAATTCATATTGTATATTTTTTGTATTAATTAAAAAATAAAAATTGTATATTTCTGAAGAAAAATAAAAAAAAAATCAATATTAATTGGTATTAATTATTAATAAATTAATATTATAACTTTTGTAATGAATTAATTATTAATTGATACTAATTAATATAACAATTGTTGATTATTAATATTAATTGATATTAATAAAAATTAATTATTAATATTAATTTATACTAATTAATAATTTAGTATTAATTGAGACTAATTAAGCCATTAATTGATATAATTAATAATTTTAGTATAATTGATACTAATAAGCAATTAATTGATACTAATTAATTTATAATGGAAAAAAAATTGTAACAATAATACTTCCATTACATTTTTATCAAATGTATCAATTTTATATTAATTGATACTAATTATATTAACTTTTATTATGAAAATAATTTTTTTTTAAATTTAAAACTGAAAAAATGACAAAATAATCATTTTTATATCATATAAGACAGAAAAGACAATTACACAGTAAAAAATATATTTTACAGCTTATTAACCAAACACTACTCTGCTGCTTAAATTCATAATCTCACAGGTACACCAAACAAATTAACAGCTTATGTTCACAGTTATAAGCCATAATCTATTAAGTTATAATCTATAATTACTTTTCTACAGTTCTACAAACGGGCCATTCTCGTTTTGTTGCATCTATCCATCCAACTCTTTCTTTTCTATTTCTAATTTCAATCGGCTTTTCCTCTCTCAAAATCCTTTTCTTTTTCGTTTTCTCTTCTAACTCCCTTTGCTACAAATAATATTATATAATTTATACAGAATTTTTTTTATAGTGAAGTACTTTAATGTAAGCCTTTATTTTAAAATAAAATATTTATGAAGATATTTTTTATTCATAAAAATGGTATTAATCACATTATTCTTTTTTTTTTTCTCTAATAATATTTAATAAAAA